AACAGCCTCCCCTGCTTTAATGTATGTTTAAAGTAACAGTTACAAAATTTGTTGGGTAGATATCACCAAGCAATAACAAAAATGACATTGATAGTAATCATTTTCCTTCTTCCTCATATCAATGTAGAACATCACAGATGACAAAAGCATCTAACAGACCTGGTCTTTTGGAGTGAGGGGCTTCTGTAGGGCCACATAGCTAAAAGGTGGCCAGAGGAGAACATGGGAAGGTTTGGAGTCGGATATGTCCAGCTCTTGATTCTCTTGACTGTGATTTCAAGCCAATTATTTAACATCTCTAAGTCTTTGGCTCTACCATGGAATTGGGACAAAGGTTCAAAGATAGGAATACTGAGTATGAAGTAGGCTTGAATGAAACCCTTAACCCATGATGGCCTGAGTAATGTGGTAGCTGTTCGTCAATAGTTAGATGGTGATGACAATGGTAACTGCTGACAGACAGACAGGCAGATAAGCTATGTCAGGGGGGTCAGGATCCTTATGGGAAACAATCCCCCAAAATTGTTTAGATGAATAGACTTTAAGGAAGAGATTGAGGTATGGTAGACTTAAGAAGCCAAGTAACCATGAACCATGTCAGACCTCCTATCTACAAAAAAAAAAGTGTACATTTACTGAATTGCTAGGTCAGACTTTGAGTGCCTTTTAAGTTTAAAAACATTATACATAGCAATGCCTCTGATTCAGGCTCAAAGGTCTTTCATGCCTAGAGTGAACTACCAATATCTTATGATAGGATAAGAAGGAATGAAGTACTTGTCGTGCAATTCTCTTCACTTACTCTCTCAATGGATCTTCTGGGAGCCCGGTGGATGCCCAGCCTGTCCTCAAGGAACTACACAAGGAGAGAGGCAGTCACAAAAATGGACCAGCTAGTTGTGATGGAACATCACATCCAAAGGCCCAGAGCAGGACTGCAGAATTCATGCCCAGGAAAGAGCAAGTGCTCAGTGAAATGAAATGAGATGGTTTGGCTGAAGAAAAATCTTTGTTCTGGCAATGAAACTTAAATTAGTTCTCGTGGATCACAGAGCTTGGGGGTGAGGGAGCATGCTCAGGTCACTGCCCTAACCTGGGCTTTGGAAATTCATCTGGGACAGGGTTTAAGGCAACACCATTGAGGGTTTATGTCCATGTGCAAGTTCAAATCCCTGGGTTATAACTCTGACACGACCAGGCAAGTGCTATATGTAACTATGGGCAGGATGTTTAACCTTACAATTTCTCACCTGTAATTTGCAGATAATCACAATTCCCAGGTCACAGGATTGGCATAAAATTAAAAAATGTTATCACACAGCAATGTTTAAACTAAGCACGCTCTCATATATATATATATATATATATATATATATATATATATGATATAACATATATACATCTGAGATTAAAAGCTACTAATAAAGTATATTTGTTATTATTGCTCATACTTTAATTAGCATTAATATAAATTATTAGTTACGAGTATTAATAATGGCTAGTGTTAATTGAGTACTTATTCTTACCATCAACATTATTGTTCCTTGAGGTTGGAAGGGCCAGAAGGCCCAGAGACAGCAGTTGCTATAAACCCTCAAGTAAATTAGACCCAAAGAATGCCGTGGATTGAAAGCCAGTACAGGGCCACAGCAGCAATTTAGAGAGTTATAATCAGTCTTTTTAAAAAATGGAAGCGAATGAATGGGAACTGGCTTATCATTCAGTCAATTGCTTTAGTGAGCCTTTTGCTGTCTTATACATCCAAACACACATGGTCACATACCTCAGTGTGTGTTTCAGGTCTCAATATGAGATGCTTTTTTAACCATGGATTGCAGGGAAGAAGGTTTTAATGACCCTGCAGTAGAAGGCACAATCACCGGACTTCCTTGTGATCCTGCCTCTCGGAACTCAGCACCATCACCAGGGCAGCCAGTGGACGAGGCTGAGTATCAAGATGGCAGAGCCCAGTGCCCTGTCTTACAATTTGATTGTTATATATTCCAAGTCAAACTTCTTGCCTAATTTCCAGAGATATTAAAAAGGAAACCATGCTTATCCATCTTAACTAGGCACAGCCATAGTCTACAATGCCATCTGTGCCACTAACTTGTACAAGCTGGGCAGGAGATTGTATCATAGAGCCATTGGTGCTCCACCAATCCTAGGGAGGATGGAGTATTGTCTTCTATCTTTAAGGCCTTTAGGTAGCACTAATAAGATTCGAAGTGTTTGCACGCTGTAGCATTTGCAGAACTATGAAGCTTTGCAGTAGACACTTGGGTTACATGATCAATTGCAGACATGGAGTGCTAATCCAGACCATTCCCTTGTAAAGTGATGCACTTTTCTAGTTATGATATAGGGACCATTTTAGTGGGCCTAGTAAATACCTGGGATTTTTAAATTCAGGCCTTTGTGCTTACTAGGCAGATATTCTACCACTTGATTCATTCCCCTATTCCCTAAGTCCTTTTGATTTTACAGATAGTGTCTCTTGCTACCTCAACCTTCTAAGGAAATGGCATTACAGGTGTATACCACCATATCTGGCTTCTATAGAACTCTTTAAGAAAGCGTTTTTGGAGCTGTGAGCTAAGCCCTAACCTGGAGAATATTCTGCCTTTGAGCTTTTAGGAGGGAAGAGAGCCAAAGGGCTGCCTTAGATGGTTACAGGCAGAACTGCTAGTCTTCAGATCAAACCTAACCCATCAGTATGTTTAGTTTGGCCTGAAAAATTATTTTTCAGTTAAAAAGAAAAACATATATAACATCTGAGCTGGAGACACAGCTTAGTGTTAGAGTTCCTGCTGCTTAGTAAATGTGAGGCCCTGAGTTCGAATTCAAATATTCTCATTTTTTTAAAGATTAATTTTAAAAAGGAAGAGATAAGGTTTAGAAAGCATATATTTTACGTTTCCATCCAGATTTCCAGCCTGTCTTAAAAATTTGCCTCCCTACCCCACGCTTTTACACTGCAGCCTAGCTGTCAGCCAAGAACTCCACTTCTAATGTCAGATGCCCCCCCAGGTGTGAGACCCCAGGTGCTCTATGGTTCTCATAGAGCTAGTGCTCTGCTGTGTCTGTAACAGGACAACCAGACAGGGGAATGCTTTGAGCATCCTCATTGTTTGAAAACTGGAACAATGCAAGGCCAACATTGAGAAAGTTGTAGGTTTCAAGAAAAATAAGAGCACTATGTATCTTTTGAAGGATGTTACTGGATTTCCTCCTGGCCCTTAGTATGTTGTGCTAGCCTGGAGCTAAAAGTAGATTGACCCGTTGCAACAATGAGATGTTGAAAAAAGGAACTTTACAATTTAGAGGGGAGGGGGAAGTGTAGTTGTGGAGGTGGGGAGGGAAGGGATGGTAGGGGAAAAGCAAAGGAGGTGGCAATAATGCTTGATAGGAAATGTACTCATTACCTTGCTCATGTAACTGTAACTCCTCTGTACAGTATTTTTACAATTAAAAAAAATTTAAAAAACACCTGGAAGGAGAATGAAGATCCCAGGTGTCTGTATAGGGCAAAAGGCACAAGAGAAGCAGCTACTGCAGTGTAAGTTTTGGGACAGTAAGACCCATTATACCCCAGTTTCACAGGGCAGGGGGCCAGGCTTTCTTGCAGGGACAGAGGAAGGTGGGTCTGGAGGTGACTAGCTAGAAGGATTCTTTCTTTTTTCTTTTTAATACTTTTTGATTGTAAAAATACTGTACAGAGGGGTTACTGTTCCCTGAGCAAGGTAATGAGTATCAAGCATTGTTGCCTCCTCCTTTGTTTTTCCCCTAGCATCCCTTCCCTCCCACCTCCACAACTATACTCCCCCCCTAAATTGTAAAGTTGGTTTTTCAACATAGTGTCTTGTTGTTACATCTCATTGTTATAATGGGTCAATCTGTATCTTGCTGGAAGGATTCTTGTATGCACTAAGAGCAAGTTAGAGTCTCTGGGAGACAGAACAGGAAAAACTCAGCCAGCTCTGGCTGTTTCCTTGTTACCTAGATAACCTTGGCAAGGTTTCAAATTCTGTCTGTCAGATGGAGGTTGGTGAGCTGCCTGATTTCAAGAAGTGTTTACTAGGTGACTATTGTGCACCAGCCCTAGGTTCAGGTGCTGTGGCTCATGGGTGAGAACCCACCAGTGAGTATAGTCTGGAAGTTCACCTAGTGAGTGGAAGCAGATGAACAGCAAAGGTTCATACAACAGTCTGGTGGTGGTATGAGTTGGTTACTTGTGCTTTGAATCCAAAAGAGGATGGTGACCATTGTAACGTCTGGAGTCATGTGAGTAGTTTTTGAGATCATTTATGCAAAGTGATTCCCCTCCTGCCTGCATATTCACTTCACAAATTCCATGTGCGCGTGTGTGTGCACACACACATGTGTGTGCTCACGTGTGAGCACGTGCGTGCCAGTCCTGAGGCTTGAACTCAGGGCCTGGGTGCTGTCCCTTAGCTTTTTCCACTCAAGGCTGATGTTCTACCGCCTGAACCACACAGCTCCACTTCTGGCTTTTTGGTGGTGAATTGGAAACATAAATCTCATGGGCTTTCCTGCTTGGGCTGGCTTTGAATTACAATCCTCCTGTCAGCCCTTCCTGCAGAAGCTAGGATTATAGGTATGAGCAAGCCACCTATGGTGGGTGGGGTGTGGGGAGGCTGGCTTTCTCTCACACATTGGAGTTCTAAGTCAGCCCCTATCCAGGCTGGGATACGCTGGGAACCACACAGGTTCAGTTCCTGTCTAGACAATTAGCATCCAGTGCTCCTGGGTACCCAGACTGCTAAGGAGCAGACAGAGCCCGACTTGCAGGGGCCTGCGTCGTGGTGGTGGTGGTGGTGGTGGTGTGGTGGTGGTGGAGGTGGAGCAGGATCCTTCCTCATCACATCCATGGCAGGCAGGGCGCTCCAGGCCCACCCCTCAGCGTTGTCTTCGCGCTCCTCCTCCCCAAAGGCTGGAGCCCACCCCCTAATCCTTGCTTCCCACCGTTCCAGACCCCCTGGCCCTGAGTGAGGAGCAGACACGGTCGGGTGCAGAGGACCCGGGGCTGGAGGAGATGGATGTAAAGGACCGGAAGCCTTACCGCTCGCTGACCCGGCGCCGCGACGCTGAGCGCCGCTACACCAGCTCGTCGGCCGACAGCGAGGAGGGCAAAGCCCCGCAGAAGTCCTATAGCTCCAGCGAGACCCTGAAGGCCTACGACCAGGACGCCCGCCTGGCCTACGGAGGCCGCGTCAAGGACATGGTGCCGCAGGAGGCCGAGGAGTTCTGCCGCGGAGGTGAGGGGCGCGCGCAGGGCGCACGGGGCCAGCCAAAGTGGGGGGCCACTGGGGGACTTTGGTCTGGGAAAAGCCTGGCCTGTGGTTCATCCTCATGTTGTTGCTGCTCTCTCCTTCCGTGGCTTGGCAGAGTCTGGGAGAAGGGAAGAGGGGGGTGGAGGGGAGGACTCGATTGTGGCACCCTCTTCGAGTCAGGTTGGTGGGTAGGAGTCTCTCTGTTGCCTTCATCTTGAAGATGTCATGAGATGACTTCTTTAAGTTGCTAAGCAGAGCTAAGTGTTGGTTCTTCCTTTGGGTGTTTCGTCATTCAACAAGCATATTCTTAGCACCTTTGGTGTGTGTGTCAAACTCTGAGACCTTGAGAGGAAGATGTTTCTGAGATGATTTGACCTTGAAACGTAATTCAGAACATAATCTCAACACCTTGACTGTCTCTCTTTTGCCTTCTATATACAGTCATCACTAAAAACCTAGAGCTGTCCTAGAATACCATTCAAATGAATCCTTCTTGCCGGCCATGGTGATGCATGGATATACATGCCAGCAAAGCCTGGTCTCAACAACAAAATGCAAACAAAAAGGCTGGAGATAACTCCTAAGTGGTGGAGAAAACAAACAATATACCCCTCTTCTCCATCCCCTGTCACTGTCCAGTTCTGGCCATTACCACAATGACTTTATACCCAGTTCTGCAGCCTTGAGCCACCTCTGCCCTGCACTGTATCTATATTGTCCTGACATTGAGGCCCTGACCCTGGCACTTGGGGGTAGCTTCCCAGCTCCTTTTCTTCCTAGACATTTTTGTGTCCCTTGTCTGTCCTAGACATTTTTGTGTCCCTTGTCTGTCCATACCCTTCACTCATGGCCCAGCCCTACTGGGGCCTCAGATATTTCTATCTTTCTGCCTGCAGAGCCTAAGCAAGCCCTCTTCCAGGCCTGGCAAGTGACTGGTCCTCAGAATGTATGAAAGCCAGCCCTGATTCTGCCTGCTCTTTCCCCTTCCACAGGCAACATTTTGATCATGCTATTTGTTTTTTACAATTACCCCAGGCTAAATCATTTGCTTAAGATCACAGGGGGGAAAGAGCAGGACACACACACACACACACACACCCCACCCATGACCTCATTTCTATTTCCTCCCACAGATTTGGATCCACATGAAAGCTGTCCCATTAGCTGCCTCTCTGGCTTGAAAAATGAGGGCTCTCCAGCTCTTCCCAAGCTTTGATTAAGAGCTCAAGCCCTGGCATCAGACAGATCTGGATTTGAATCCTGGCTCTGCCATTGTTATGACTCTCAGCCTTTTTACCTGTGCAAAGGGATAATAGTAGCTAATAGTAGAGTGAGCATGAGGATGAGTGAGGACTGTAAATAATGCACCTGACATCGGTGCCTGGCACGAAGCAGATGTTTCATAAATGCTACCCACTAGTCATTGTCACCTCTAAGTCTTGGTGATGGGAAAAGAGAAAATTACTCAAAGCATTCCCCTAGCTCTGTCCTGTCTATATTTGACAAAGCTCTCCTAGGCCAGATATAACCTATATGAGCACATGAGGCTCAGAATAGGAGCCCATCCTGGGATTGTAGTTGTTGATAATGATAATAGTACTGGAGTTTGAACTCAGAACCTGGAGCTTATTAGGCAAGCATTCTACCTTTAATCTATACCTCCAACCCCAAGTTCTTTCTGGTCTTTGTAAAGAGCAAATAAGCATTCACATACAGTCATGTACAGAGTGGCTTATAAATTGCCATCCTGGATCCAAAAACCCTTTGAAGGCCACAAGGCATAGATTATTACCCCCTTTTAGAGACAAGAACAGGCCAAACCTGGTGGTTTATGCCTGTAATCCCAGCTCCTCGAGAGGTGTATATCTAAGAGGATCAAGATCCTCTTAGTGCCAGCAAGGTGTGTGTATGCGGGGGGGAGGGAGCATGAGAGCTTCTCTAAAAAATACTAAAGCACTAAAGGTCTGGAGGTGTAACTCAAGTGGTAGAATATCTGCCCAGCAAGTGCAAGACTGTGAGTTCAAACCACAGTACCATAAACAAACCAACACTGAAGCTCAGGTGATCACCAGCCCAGAACTACACAGCCAGAGGCTGAGTGAGGTGGGCTGTCAACCTATGCCCAGGGAAGAAGCCAAAAGGTCTAAAGCCAAGAGATCATGAGGTCTTCTCACATGCGGTGAAAGAATTTCAAACCACCCAGGAGAGGGGCTGAGTCTCAGCTCACTGGCCTGAAGGCCCATTTTGACCTTATTATTTAGAAACTGCATCTTGGGGAAGTTGGAGGCAGGGAAGTGGGAAGGGAAGGGTACAGAGCTGCCAGCACAGAGGCTGGGGGGACGCTGGAGGTGCTAGAAGAATCTGGGAACTTGCACACCAACTAAATGCTTACTTACCAGAAAAGAAATGTTTCATGACAAGTCGAAGGTGACTGCAGCAGACTTGAGCCACAGCTCCTGCTAGCTCTCTAGACAGCCATGTCCCATTCAGTCTCTCCTCCCCTTCTGCTTCCTCTCATGGAGGCTCCAAGGGCCTGCCAGGGTGAGTCTGTCTCTGTGCTCACTTAAATTCTACCGAGCACTGACTCTGCCACAGGTGTGTGGTGTACATAATAGCAGTTGGTGAGGCCCTTCCTCCCCAGGTTGCAAAGGCTTGGCTAGGAGGGAGACGTTGTTATGAAGCCATTTGTGCTGGCTTCCCTGGGCCTTCTGGGGAGACCCATTTCCCTTGCCTTCACAGGTTGTCCCCATGAATCATGAGGACCCACCTCTTCTGTCTCGTTCAGTTCTCATGTCATCTCTCCCTGCTCTACTCTCAACTCCCACTCCTGGGTTACATCTTCCCTCTATGCTCCTAGAACCTTCTTCATGATCTCCCTACTTTCATCTTCACCCTTAAATCTCCCCCGCCTAACTGGGAGCTGTACAGCCAGACACCACACCCTACTCAGGGCTGCATCTCAGTAAAGCCCCTGGGCTAGCTTGAGTTTGTGTCAATGCGCATGCCACCTGACATGAGTTCACTTCCCAGATCATCTGTTTAACTGGAAGGTGACCTTACAGTCTTTGTCTGTCCTCTCATCCATTTCACCCAAGATATGCCTGGGAATAGCAGCCACATAGGAGAAGTTGTCCCTTAGTAGACACTGAATTAACACAGACAGAAGGAAAGAGCTCGTATGTCCCATGAAAGCACCCACACCCTAACTCCAGGGTGCATTCTCCCTAACACCTGCCCCAGCCTCAGCTCTGGGCCTTCTCTTGTTCTTAGGAACCCATCTCTGCTAATTCTCTATCACACTCTACCTGCTGCGAGGAAGCAGCCTGTGTGCCCTATATCTACATCGCCAGTTGGTTTGTGCTCTGCTCTCCTAAACAGCTCCAAAAGGACCTCTGGTTCCTGGCCAATCCAGGCCATTAACCAGGCTTCTGCCCTTTGCTGGGCTTGCTGATAGTCCTCCCTGAAAGAGGAATCCTAGACTCTCCATACAACTTAGCAGGCATTTATTGAGCTGAATATTAAATTTTACCCCAAGTGCAGAGATTTAAGAATAAGCAAGACACTGTACCATACCTTGTCACCTGCAGCAGAAGGAACAAGACAACTCTATTGTGCAAGGACTTTGAGAGGGATCTGGGAAGAATTGGCATTGACACCTACACAGGGGTAGGATTTGAGGAAGATCTCCCAGAGAAAGTGACATTTGAGCCTACTTTAAGGATCCAGAGCCTAAGCCAGGCATGGATTGCATTTAGGAGGCAAAAGGAAGATCACGTGTTGGAGGCCAACCTGTGTTAAATAGTAAGGACCTGTCTTAAAATAACAAAGATGACACAGATAATTTGGCTGGTAGAAAGACACTAGGAGTCATTGCTGGAACTGACCACCACCATGAGTTCAAAACACAGCCATGAATCCTGAGCTGGGGGGCTTTGCTCCAGACAAGGTGCTCCTCCCAGCACACTGACCATTTTGACTCTGTCTTCTCCCAGGCACCAATTTCACCCTGCGTGAGCTTGGACTGGGCGAGGTGACCCCACCTCATGGGACCCTCTACCGGACAGACATTGGACTCCCCCACTGTGGCTACTCCATGGGGGCCAGCTCTGATGCAGACCTGGAGGCTGACACAGTTCTGTCCCCCGAGCACCCTGTGCGCCTTTGGGGCCGAAGCACACGGTCAGGACGCAGTTCCTGCCTGTCTAGCAGGGCCAACTCCAACCTCACACTCACCGACACGGAGCACGAGAACACGGAGACCGGTGAGTGGCCCACTTGGCCTGTGTTGGGTTCAGGGCTGGGGCTTTAATTACAATCTTGATTTGCTGCTCCATCACTGGGGCATTGTGGAAGGTGCTTTGCTCTCAGTGGTCGAAAGGCTCTGACTTTTGCACAGTCATAGGAGATACTCCCTATCAGTGATCTGTTAGAGATGTGGTCATAGACCTCTAGGGAAGTGCTAAGGGGCTGTGTTATGGTGTTCTTGATTCCTATGTGTATGGTGGGGGAGGGGGGAAGCAATGGGGGTAGGATGATGGCAACCCATCCCCCACAGCTGATTTTGTCAAGCCAGGTCACCTATTCCAAAATCTTCTCACAGATTCTTTAGCTAAAAGTGCTCTGAAGTCCAGGGCAATCTCCAAGGACCTTGTCAGACTCTGTGTCTTATGTTGATCAGAGAATGGCTTAAAATCCAAGTGTCATTTCAGGCTAACTTGAAACTTGAGCTGTTGGAGAGTGGAGGTATTGGTCAAAGGATACAAAGTTTGTTCAGAGGAATAAATTTTCAGGATCGATTGCAGTAATGACATGTATCAGCACAAACTGAGTATTCAGTGTTTCAAATGTGTGGGGGTAAAAACTGGGAGTGTTTCAGGTTTGGTAATACTTGTATATAAACTACTGTTTGGCCATCACTAATCCAAAAATCTGAAAATCCTACATGGTGCTTAAAAGTTTGGAATTTCAGAGCATTTCAGTTTTTCAGAGTAGGGCTGCTCAAGCTTTGTTTCAAAATTGCTAAAAGGGGAGATTTAAATTCTCTCTCTGTCCCCACACCCTCCACCCCACCAAATGAAGAATATGGGGTGACAGACATGTTAATTGTCTTGATTTCATGCTTCCACAATGGATGTATGTATTTATCAAAATATCCCACAATATACTCTACAAATATACAGTTATTTGTCCATTAAAAGGAAATTTAAAATAAATTCTAAGATGAGGGGCATAGGTCAAGGTAGAGTGCTTGCCTAGCCACATCTCCAAGGTCCTGGATTTGATCCCCAGTAGCACAAATAAATAAGTCAATTGTAAAAAGTAAAAGCTTGAGGTTTCACCCCAGCTTCTGCCTGACTTTGTGGGGGGGACTGGCTTCAGACCCCTTAGGCCAGTTTCATGTCTGCAGCCCTGTCTCCCAAGGCCTAGAGAAACTGTGGGAGAAAATGAAGGTAACTAATACACAGCTTCTTCCCAGGATAAAGAAGTTTTAGAAGCAGATCTCCAAGAAGCTCCACCTGAGTTCTAGCCACTAGGAGTATCCCCCATCTTGTATGCATCAGCCCCTGCCAGGGTCTGGCAGGGACAACTTAAGGAGGGTGCCAAGGCCTAGGAGTTTTTGCCCGTAGGAAGCCCAGCATGGGGGTCTGCAGGAGCTCCTGGAATCCACCCCGCCCCCTCCAAACAGGGGCACGGGAATGGTGTTGGGAAGGAAAGCCACAGTGCCCCCTACTGGCTCCCAGCTCCCATGTCTGGAGCCTAATGATTTCTGCCAGGGATTCCAGGGACAGAGTGAAGGAGAGACTCCAGGTGAACTTGCAAAACCAAAGTCCCAGATCAGCTTAAGGGTCAGGTGGGAACTCAACCCCTTAAAGAACCTGGTACTACACATCCAACTATTTATGCTGCCATCCCTGCCTCAGGTTTTTCCCAGGTAGCCTGTGTAATTGCTGGAGCTAGGAAAGAGGCAGATCCTGGGTAGCATTGTGGTGGACCTGCTACCTCCTCTCATCCTAGTCAGTCTATGGGGTCAGTGACCTCTCAGCCTCTGGAGAAGCTTTCCCTCCCAGCTCCCATCAAGACCCAGGCTGAGCCAATGGGTTATCTCTCCCCCACCTCTCCATGCACTGAACCAGCTTACCAAATTGGCACCAAACCTGGCACAGAGAGAGTGGGTTGTGTTGTGGCATTTGGGTGAATTACATCCTTTTGGTCCCCCTCCGTTTTCTCCTAGAAAGTATAGTTTAAATGAAGTCAGCGTCTATCATCTTCTGAGAATTTTTATTGAACAAAATAGGAAAGTATTTTTTGGTCCAAGTCCTGAGAAAATACTGGACTAAATCCATTTAAACCAGTTTCTCTTCAGCAGGACTTCTCAGAGCCTTTAAGATGCTACTGTATATGTTAGCAGATAAAACTGCCAGCTTAAGACAGCATTTTTCCCTTCTCTTGTACCACAAGACCTTTCCTTCTCAGAGCATCTGGCTGGACCAGTGTTCTAATTCAGTTAGTAATAGCCGAGCCAAACAACCTGCAGGCTCTCATCTAGACCTGGGATTCTGTTGTTCTAAGTACAGGCATACATAAGAAAAAGGTCCACAAGATGAAAGTAATAACAGCACTGAGAGTTAATAGCTGCTGGTGGTTATGAGCACCAAGGAAGAGAGCTAAGCACTTTGGCTATGTGATCACATTTGCCCTTCCTGTAACACTTTGAAGCAGAATTTTATTATCTCCATTGCATGGAGGAAAAAAAAAACATAGCTACAGCCCAAAGAGGCTGCAGAAGTCACCCAGCTAGCAGGATGGGATTACAGTCAGGGCTGCATAACTCTAAAATCTGGACTGGTTTAGCATTAGTTATTCTGGTGAATTTTCTCCATAGCAAAATGTTCAGGTTGTTTGTTATTTTGAAGATTTCTTGCTATGGTGACAAATGATCATTTTCCATAAAGTCATGACAGAATAAGGCACACACCACCCACATTATTGTGTATTTCCCGAGAGCTGAATTAAGCCTCTGTTGGGTGATAATGACATCAGATGAGCATGAAGAGGCTCAGCCTTTGTTAGAAGGAAGGGTACATTGATCTCTCTTTGGTTGCCCATTCCATACATGACCATGGAACACAAAGTTCAGCTATACTCTGGGAAAATCAACATGCAAAGGAGGTGGGAAGGGAGTCTATCAAAGTACCCTTGACCTCTGCATCCTTCCAGACCTGGACTCCAACCTGACACCTCCATGGTGACTGCATGCCTCAGCTGGAAAATAACATAATGGCTTTGGTATACGACATTCTAAATTACACCAACCACAGGAATTGATCACTTTCTTTTTTTTATAATTATGTTATTGTGAAAATACTGTACAGAGGGTTTACAATTACATGGGCAAGGTAATGAGTGCATTTTTTATCAAGCATTGTTGCCTCCTCCTTTGTTTCCTCTTACCATTCACTGGTTAGGTTCATAGCACTCTTGCTTAGTAAAACAGAGGCTCAGAGAGATGAAGAATGTGCCTGGTGCCCCGTGTCTAGGTGAATTGGCTTCTGGACAATGGAGAAGATCTTGGCCTTATATTTTGGGTGTACCAGTCCTACCTCTGAGGTCTTAAGCAAGTTTACCTCACCTCTGTTAGCTACAGTTTCTTCATTTTCAAAACAATATGCCAGGGCAAAGTTGTTCATTACAAGGGGGATTACAAATAGACTGTAATCCCAGCTAGTTGTGAGGCAGAGATTAGGAGGATCAAGGTTAGAAGCCAGCTCTGGGGAAAGCATGCGTGCATTCACACACATCTCCATAAGGAGATTCTGGTTCTCTTCATTCTTCCTTTTTTCTTCCTGCCCTTCTTACCTCCTCATCTTCCTCTACTCCATCTGATTCTCTTTCCCATCCTACCCACCCCCTGCATTTCTCTTTCCTTTTCCTTTGATGAAAACTTGGATCCCTCTTTCACAACAAGGCCCAGTTCCACAGGCTGTGTTAGCTACAAAGCACATCATCGTAGGGCCAGTGTTGAGGAATACGAGAAGTCATGAATCTCTGCTGAGAGCCCAGGACTACAGATACACAATGGCCTTTAATCCATTAAAGTGCATTGGCATTCCCATTTTCCAGATAGTAAAACTGACCCTCCACAATGTTTAACTGACATGACAGTAAGTCACTATGTCAGCCAAGCTAGGACTTGAACTCAGGTCTCTCTTCCTCTATAGTCTGGGCCCTTTGCTTACCTCCATTTGAGTCAATGAGAGTTTGGAGGTCTCGGTTGAGGCCAGCAATGTTGGACAACCAGGTCCTCAGAGATGCAGATGGATAAATAGGAAATGCAAAGCATAAACCCCAGCAACCTCTATCCACCAGAGCATCGACCCTGCCTCCACATACGACCTTGTATCCATCAATAGTAATTGTCAACAGTATTGACGGTGGTGGAGGCTTTTGCTGAGGTCACAGGGATGCTGCATGCAGCTGCCATCAATAATAACTTTTATGGGGTCCATTAAAGCCAATTTTTGCCCCTGAAGGTTAATGTCAGCAGCTTTTATGTCACTGCTTAATATCTAAAATAAATACAAAATTGACTGGGTAATGTAAACATAAATCTTCCTCCTTGGGCATCAGAGAGAGCCTGCTGGGCAGGAGGGTTAGCAGGTAGCAGGCCGGGAGCAATGAGAAGAAGCTGGCATGCCAGTCACACAGTCAGCATGCAGTAAATGGCTTTTAGGAGGTTGATGCTGGAAGAGGAGCTGCATCCCCAGCCACAGGGTCAGCATGACACCATGTCTCTCTTATAGATTCATTCTGCTTCTGCTTCATTCTGCACTTTGTGCTATGGCCATGCTGAGGTTCCTCAGGATGCCATGTGTTGTTTTGTTCTAGTGGCAGAAGCTAGATGAATAGTCGAGGAGGTGGCCCTGGACTATAGCAGAGGTGTCACAAGACTGGAAAGAACATTCATTTCTGAACCCACCAAAGAGACCTGGCCTCTTATCCTAGTTGTATCAGTCCTAGCTCTGAGATCTTGAACAAGTCCCTGTACCTGTTTGAGCCAGAGTTCCTTCATTTACAAAACAATATGCCATAACCCAGATGCCCCTCAGTAGATGAATGGATCAAGAAAATGTGATATATATATATATAGATACAGATATAGATATAATGGAATTCTATGCTTCCAGCAGAAAGAATGACACAACCCCATTCTTAAGAAAATGGAAAGACTTGGAAAAAATCATATTAAGTGAAGTAAGCCAGA